GTCAAAGGCCAGTTCCAGATACAGGGAATTCCAGGCCAGCTTTAGCTACAGAGTGAGACCAGGTATCAAAAACTGATAAAGTATGTTCATGCTGAGAGTAGTTGATCGCTCATACAATCCTAGCACCGAAGAGGCCGAGGAAGGGATCATCCCATGGATGCCTGTTTGGGTTACATGATGAGTTCAAGGCTGGCCTGAGGAATCATTGAAAATGTCTCTCCCTGGTACATGCTTTTAAGCCTAACACTTGGGAGTCAGAGGCAGGTCAATCTCTTTGAGTTCCAGGCTAACCAGGGCTACATAGTGAACCCCTGTCAAAAATGTTTGAAATAATAATAATAATAATAATAATAATAATAATAATAATAAAGAACACATTAGAGATATAGTCTAGTTGTCAGGTGATTGCCTCGAATTTGATAGATTCAATCCCCAGTACTAAGAAAACAAACGATACAGGAAACAACTTCTTTCTTTCTTTCTTTCTTTCTTTCTTTCTTTCTTTTTTTTTTTTTTTTGCTTTTGAGCCAGGATTTCTCTCTGTGGTTTTGGTGCCTGTCCTGGATCTCGCTCTGTAGACCAGGCTGGCCTTCAACTCACAGAGATCCACCTGACTCTGCCTCCTGCGTGCTGGGATTAAAGGTGTGTGCCACCACCGCCCAGCTTTTTTTTTTTTTTTTAAGGAAACTTCTAATTAGCCACTTTAGGAGCCTGGTGAGCCTAGCCCACATTACCAGGAGAACTGTCTCCGAGATGGAAACCCTGACAAGAAGCTCATTCAGCTTTATTATTGGCATGGATCCTGCACTGGAATTGACCCATTTTAGGGGAAGAAACAGAGGAAACTAGGGACCACCTTTGCTGTTCAGTGGGTGAGTGTAGATCAGGGACACAGCTTTATAGAGACCCTGCCTTGATTAGCAGAACCACTGAATAAAAAAAAAAATCAAGTTGGGTGGGGCATCTCTCTGCCTTAGTCCTAACACTGAGGGATTGTGCTACACAGAGAGACCCTCTGTCCAAAAATAAAACAAAAACAAAAACAAAACAAAACAAAAAAACTTGAACATGACTGGTGGTTCTTGCCTTTAATCCTACTACTTAGGAGACAGGGGTTGGTGAATGTGAGATACCAGCCAGCCACAAAGCAGCCATCCAGTGACCCACCACCCATTAGAATTGCTTCATAAATAAACAAGACAAAAACTGGGATGTGAAATATTCTACAGGAAGTGTTTGTTTGCCCTTTTAGACAGGCTTTCTTGTCTCTGGGAGGAGAGTGACTTACCAGATCCAGATACATGAAACCTGGAATCTCACAACCAGTTTTATGCTGTGTTGAGAATCCAGCACATCTACTAGGCAGGCGTTCTCCAAAGTGAGAAACCAGGCCCAGCCCAGTAAGCTTGTATTTTGTACGTAGTAGACAACTATTCTCAAGCCCAATTAATGCCTTCAAGCCCCGTGTTTCTCTTGACACAGATACTATGTGGTCAAGGCTGGATCCCACCATGTATCCTTAAACCTTAGATTATGTCTGGATTGTCAATGTTTATCACAGTGCCCAATCCCAACTCTGCTTTTAAGCTTTGAATGAAAAGAATGTCATAAGGCCAGGCAATAAGGCCTGTGTTCCCAGCACTTTGGAGGTGGAGGCAAGGGAATCAGGTCTTTCTTTATTTCTTCCTTGACCCAGTAATGATTCAGTTGAGCATTGTTCAGTTTCCATGAGTTTGTAGACTTTCTGCATTTTGTGTTGTTGTTGAATTCTAACTGTAAGCCATGGTGATCTGATAAGATACAGGGGGTTATTCCAATCTTTTGTATCTGTTGAGATTTGTTTTGTTAACGAGTATGTGGTCAGTTTTGGAGATGGTTCCATGAGGTGCTGAGAATGTATATTCTTTTGTGTTTGGGAAAAATGTTCTATAGATGTCTGTTAGGTCCATTTGAGTCATAACATCTGTTAGTTCCCTTATTTCTCTGTTAAGTTTCTGTCTGGTAGACCTGTCCAGTGGTGAGAGTGGGGAGTTAAAGTCTCCTACTACTAGTGTGTGGGGTTTGATGTGTGATTTGAGCTTTAGTAATGTTTCTTTTACAAATGTGGATGCCCTTGTATTTAGGGCATAAATGTTCAGAATTGAGACTTCATCTTGGTGGATTTTTCCTGTGATGAATATGAAATGTCCTTCTCCATCTCTTTTGACTGATTTTAGTTTGGAGTCTATTTTGTTAGATATTAGTAGGATAGCTACACCAGCTTGCTTCTTAAGTCCATTTGATTGGAAAATCTTTTCCCAACCCTTTACTCTGAGGTAATGTCTGTCTTTGAGGTTGAGGTGTGTTTTTTGTATGCAGCAGAAGGATGGATGCTGTTTTCTTTTCTTTTCTTTTTTCTTGATTATTTTTTAATGATTTTATTTTATGTACATTGATCTTTTGCCTGCATATGTCTGTGTGAGGGTGTCGGACCCCCTGAACAGGAGTTACAGACAGTTGTGAGCTGCCATGTGGGTGTTGGGAGTTGAACTTGAGTCCTCAGGAAGAGCAGCCAGTGCTCTTAACCACTGAGCCTCCTCTCCAATCCAGGATCCTGTTTTCGTATCCATTCTGTTAGCCTGTGTCCTTTTTTTTTTTTTTTTTTTTTTTTTTGGTTTTGCGAGACAGAGTTTCTCTGTGTAATTTTGCGCCTGTCCTGGAACTCACTCTGTAGCCCAGGCTGGCCTTGAACTCACAGAGATCTGCCTGCTTCTGCCTCCCAAGTACTGGGATTAAAGGCGTGTGCCACCACCACCCTAGCCTGTGTCTTTTTATAGGTGAATTGAGTCCATTGATATCAAGGTATATTAATGACCAGTGATTGTTAATTCCTGTCAATTTTTTGGTGGTAATCTGTGTGTGTTTCCCTTCTTTGGGATTTGCTGGTGTGAGATTATCTATTGCCTGTGTTTTGTTGGTTGCCGCTAACTTCCTTGGGTTGGAGTTTTCCTTCTAGTAGTTTCTGTAGGGCTGGATTTGTGGATACATAATGTTTAAATCTGGTTTTGTCATGAAATATCTTGTTTTCTTCATCTATGGTGATGGAAAGCTTTCCTGGGTATTATAGTCTGGGCTGGCATCCGTGGTCTCTTAGTATCTGCAGAACATCTGTCCAGGACCTTCTGGCTTTCAGAGTTTCCATTGAGAAGTCGGGTATAATTCTGATAGGTCTGCCTTTATATGTTACTTGATCTTTTACCTTTGCTGCTCTTAATATTCTTTCCTTATTCTGTATGTTTAGTGTTTTGATTATTAAGTGTCAAGGGGAACTTTTTTTGTGGTCCAGTCTATTTGGTGTTCTGTAAGCTTCTTGTACCTTCATAGGCATGTTTTTCTTTAGGTTGGGAAAGTTTTCTTCTATGATTTTGTTGAATATATTTTCTGTACCTTTGAGCTGGAATTCTTCTCCTTCTTCTATCCCTATTTGTAGCACGAATCTTAAAGGATCTTATTAATGAAATCAATCCTGAAGCCAGGTACTGGGGTGAATGCTGGAAGATCAGAGAAGCAAAACAAGCCGCAGTCACCTCACCTTGCTAATTCCTCAGCTGATCCTATTTCCTCAGACTGGAAGCTTCTGAGTCCTCATCCAAGTGGATCTAAGCTGAACTGCTTCTCAAAAGCCTGAAGTTTAACCAGGCCAAAAGCTTCTAGTTTCTGGTCTTCATGCCTTATATACCTTTCTGCTTTCTACCATCACTTCCTGGGATTAAAGGCTCACTTTCTGGGATTAAAGGCGTGAGTCACCATGCTTGACTGTATCCTCGAACACACAGAGATCCAAGTAGATCTCTGCCTCTGGAATGCTAGGATTAAAGGTGTGTGCTACCACTGCCTAACATCTATGTTTAATATTGTGGCTGTTTTGTTCTCTGACCCCAGATAAGTTTATTAGGGTGTACAATATTTTTTGGGAACACAATACCACCACACCTATTATTCCTAGGTTTGGTCTTTTCATGGTGTCCCAGATTTCCTGGATATTTTGTGTTAAAAATTTGCTGGATTTAACATATTCTTTGACTGATGAATCTGTTTCCTCTATTGTATCCTCAATGCTTCTGAGATTTTCTCTTCCATTTCTTCTTCTTCTTCTCCTTCTTCTCCTTCTTCTCCTTCTTCTTCTTCTTCTTCTTCTTCTTCTTCTTCTTCTTCTTCTTCTTCTTCTTCCTCTTTTCTGAGATATGGTTTCTCTGTGTAGTTTTGGTGCCTGTCCTGGATCTCACTCTGTAGCCCAGGCTGGCCTCGAACTCAGAGATCCACCTGGCTTTGCCTCCTGAGAGCTGGGACTAAAGGTGTGCACCACCGCCGCCAGTCTCTCCTCTATTTCTTGTATTCTGTTGGTTATGCTTGCCTCTGTAGTTTGTGCTTGTTTACTTATATTTTCCTTTTCCTGAATTCCCTCAGTTTGTGCTTTCTTCATTGCCTCTGTTTCAATTTTCAAGTCTTGAACTGTTTCCCTCACCTGTTTGTTTTTTTTCCTTGGGTTTCTTGACTTTCTTTAAGAAATTTCTTGATTTCCTCCAATTTTTTTTGCCCATTTCTTTTTCCTCCATTTTTTTAAGAGAATTTTTCATTTCCTCTTTTAGGGTCCTTATCATCTTCATAAAGTTTTTAAAAAATTATTTATTTATTATGTATACAGTGTTCTACCTGCATGTATGCCTGCATGCCAGAAGAGGGCGCCAGATCTCATTACAGATGGTTGTGAGCCACCATGTGGTTGCTGGGAGTTGAACTCAGGACCTCTGGAAGAGCAGCTGGTGCTCTTAACCTGTGAGACACCTCTCCAGCCCCATAAAGTTGTTTTTAAGGTCATTTTCTTTTGGATCATCTGCATTGGGATGTTCAGGTCCTGCTGCTGTAGGGTCACTAGGTTCTGTTGGTACCATATTGCTCTTTATGTTGTTTAATGTGTACTTACACTGCCATCTACCCATTTCTTCCTTTAATCCATACAGGTGGAGCTCCAGGTTGCTCTCCTTCCAATTGGTGCAGTTCAGGCCTGTGGCTCCTGTGGTTGCCCTTCTTCCCAATTGGTGCAGGAGGGGCATATGGCTCCAGAGTCACTCTTCCCAATTGGTCGCAGGGGTGGGTGAGGGCATGTGTGTGTGTGTGTGTGTGTGTGTGTGTGTGTGTGTGTGAGTGTGCATATGGCTCTGGTGGTCGCTGGTGCTGCAGGGGATGGTTGGTGGTGCTGGGGGCAGGCTGCTGCTTGGTCTCTGGGACTGCATTGACAGGGGGTGTGGGTGGGGAAACAGAATATGCCACCAGGGCCTAGGGGCTAGAGAACTGGGCTGATCAGTCTGGAGATCGGGGGGCCTTACCTCTTCCCAATCAGCGCAGTGGGGCTGAATGGCTCCAATAGCCCTTGGTGCTGCAGGGGGATGGTTGGCTTGTCGAGAGGGAGGGGGATGAGGCTGCTACTTGGTCTCTGGGGCTGCAATGGCTGGGGGGAAGGGGCATGGAATGTGCCCCTAGGAAGGGGCTAGAGAACTGGACTGAACAGTTAGCCAGCTTTTCTTAACTTAATTATCCCATCTATCTTTTGCCTCTGGGCTCTTACCTTTCTCTTTTTCTGTGTGTTTTCTTTCTTACTCCATTGCTGGCTGTGTAGCTGGGTGGCTGGCCCCTGATGTCCTTCTCTCACTCCTCCTTGTTTTCCTCCCAAGATTTCTCCTCCTATCTATTCTCTCTGCCTGCCAGCCCCACCTATCCTTTCTCCTGTCTCTCTAGTGGCTGTTCAGCTCTTTATTAGACCGTCAGGTGTTTTAGACAGGCACAGTAACACAGCTTCACAGAGTTAGACAAATGCAACATAAAAGAGTGAGCACATCTTTGCCTCTTAAACAAATGTTCCAAGCACAAACAAATGTAACACATCTTAAAACAATGTTCCACAACATAATTCAGAAGTCATGGTGGACATTCCTCAAACCTACCACTCTGAGTTTCCCACTCTAATGGGTGAAATGTGTAGAATTCTCAGAATATAAGAAAAGATAGATCTTACAGTCTGCTTCTTGTCCACATCTCAGATCTCAGCTTTCCCCTCAAAAACTTTGCTTCTCTTCCAAGTCTCCAGGTCTTAAGAGGCCTTTATTAAGGACTTTGCAGATAGACCCTGAAAGACTTAGACAGGCAGCATGATCCTTAAGTCTTTGTATGTCTGTCAGTGAAGGACTCTTGGAACATCACTTGGAAGGGAGGAGCTTGTTGAGTCTGTCCTCCAGATCAGAAGTGGCCAAGGCCTCTCTCTCTTTTTTTTTGGAGACAGGATTTCTCTATAGTTTTGGAGCCTCTCCTGGAACTCACTCTGTAGACCAGGCTGGCCTTGAACTCACAGAGATCCACCTGTCTCTGCCTCCAGAGTGTTGGGATTACAGGTGTGCACCACTACTGCCTGGCTGAAAGTCTCATTTTTAAAGGACATTTTTTCTAGGTCTCCATCAAAAACCTGTTCCAGAGTTTAAGAGCTGTGCTTGATGCTGTGGAAGGCAATTGATGGATAAGCTAATGAGACAGAAGGATGCTGTGAACCCTTTCATCTTGTGACAGGAGCACCTTGGTTGCAGATCAGTCAGTAGAGTGTTTCTCTAACACGCACACACTTATTGTAGCAGGATGCAGGAGGATTTTCATACATTGTGTCTAGCCCGGCTGCATCAGGAAACCCTGTCCCAACCCCAAAATACTGATATTTATTTCCCAGTGTCAAAGAAGAGAACGGCAGTGAAATCTGGAGTCAGTCTACAATGTGACTCCTCATCTGCTGTTCTCAAAGTCTCCATTTCGCTCACTGCCACCATGGGGAGCCTTTTCCAAGCAGTCACCTAGCTAGATTCTCCAATTTCCCTGTGGCTCCAAATGCTGCTTGAAAATAAAAATTTTAAATTATAGATAAATATATATCTGGGGCTGGAGAGATGGCTCAGAGGTTAAGAGCACTGGCTGCTCTTCCAGAGGTCCTGAGTTCAATTCCCAGCAACAACATGGTGGCTCACAGCCATCTACAATGAGATCTGGTGCCCTCTTCTGGCCTGCAGGCGTACATGCAGAAAGAACACTGTATACGTAATAAATAAATAAATCTTTAAAAAAAATTATAAATATACAAAACACAAATTTTAAAACTTTCTAGATTTGAAATCCCTGACGTAGCATTTGCCATTGACATTAAATAAGCTGAATTTCTATCTTTTTTTAACTTTCTGTATTTCTGGAGCCTTCACTTCATGTTGGCCGACTATGAATCTAGGATGGCCGTGAGTCTCTGATCTTTGGTCTTTCTCTCAGGAGAGGTGGCACTGCAGAAGTGCACCCCGTGCCCCGTTTCTGACATTCTGAGAATGAACCCAGCCTTCAAGCATGCTAGTCAAGCACTCCCCCATATGAGGCACAGCTCCATTTTTGTTGAAGATGATGTGGTCCTGGGTACTGCTGTGTAAGATCTCTGAAGGCATATCCATCCTCTAAAAACAGAAACCACTGAGCTTTGTCTCCAGGACATTTTCAGTAGTCAATCAGCTGCTTGGTGTTTTTCTTTCTTTCTTTTTTTGTTTTTTTAATGTAATTTTTTTGAGACTATCCTACAAGTCGATAGGTAGCCTCTCCTGCCTTAAGACTTTTTCAATTAATTTTTTTCATTTATTTTATATCTTGACCACAGTTTTCCCTCCCTCCTCTTCTCCCATTCTACTGCCCCCTCCCATCTCCCCATGACTCCCCTCCCATCCACTCTTCCTCTGTTTCTGTTCATAAAGGTGCAGGCCTCCTCCCATGGTGTCAATAAAGCGTGGCATATCAAGTTGAGGTAGGACTAAGCTTCTCCCTGTGTATTAAGGCTGGATGAGGCAACCCTTCATGAGGAATAGGTTCCCAAAAGCCAGCTCAAGCATTAGGAACAGGCCCTAATCCCACTACTAGGAGTCCCAGAAATAGAGCATGCCATAAAACTGTCCCACATGCAGAGGGCCTAGGTTGGTCCCATGCAGGCTCCCTAGCTGTCAGTCCAGGATCTCTGAGCTCCTATGGGCCAAGGTTAGTGGTTTCTGTGTGTGCCCTTGTGATAACCTTGAACCCCCTGGTTCATGTAATCCTTCTTCCCTCTCCTCAACAGGATTTCAGTGCTTGGCTGTGGATTTCTGCATCTGTTTCCACCAGTTACTAGACGAAGGCTCTCTGATGACAACAATTAGGGTAGTTGCCAATCTGATTACAGGAGATGGTCAGTTTAAGCATCCTCTCCACTATTTAGGGAAGTCTTAGCTGGGGTCGTCCTTGTGGTTTCCTAGGAATCTCCCTGGCACCAGTTTTTTCCTTGAACTGAAAATGCCCCCTGAACCCTTTTTTTTTTTTTTTTTAATGTATCTGCATCAGACATGGTGATGTTGGGATTAGAGAGGTGCACCACACAAGGATTTCTCATTCTTTTTTTAAAGGTAGGTTCTTGGTATTCGGCTCGGGCTGGCCTCTAACTCACTTGGGAGATCAAGCCTGCTGCTTCATGCTCCCAGTGGCTGAGACTACTGGTGAAACCACGAAGACAGCTTTGATATCTTCTTCTTTACTTCCATTTTACATTCTTTGTTTTTTGTGAGGCGTGGTCTCTTGTAGTTACTATGGCCTGGAACTCAATTTGTTACCTCTGCCCACATTTTTTTTTTTTGTTTTGCTTTTGCTTTTTCGTATAGAGCTTCTTTGTGTAGCCCTGGCTGTCCTAGAACTCACTCTCTACGCCAGGTTGCCTTTGAACTCACAGAGCTGCATATGCCTCTGCTTCCTGTGTGCTTGGACTAAAGGTGTGTACTACCACCACATAGCTGCTCATGTTCTCTCTAGATATGTGACGTTAAAATTGTAAGAACAGAAAAGTTATTATGGGTAACCAGCGAAGGGAAAGGTGGGGGAGGACCAGGTAAGTTCTTGTTATGTAGCCTTGGCTGCTTAGTACTGAAAGACGTTTGAGATATTCTCAGCTCAGCACATAGCCTTGAGGATGTAAAATGTGAAGTCAGGTTCAAATCCAGTGAGTGAAGATGGGCAGATTGGGTGTTCGGCAAAGGGTCTTCCTGATTTGGAGGTTTTGATATGTGTAAGTGGAGAACCAACAGGGGTGCAAAATGAAGCTCCCAGCATTGTAGGAGGGGAGGAAAGAAACAGAGGGAGGGAAGTGGGAGAGGTCAGTGAATAAGAACAGAGTAAACTGTGTGTATGTATGAAAAGGCCATAATGAAATTCATCAGTCTGTGTGTTAACTTCAAATGTTAAAGGAGGATGTTCTATTTGCAGTTGGGTTTGTGTGTGTGTGTGTGTGTGTGTGTGTGTGTGTGTGTGTGTGTGTGTGTGTGTGTAATGTCAGTAGACAACGTGGGTCTTGATGCTCATGCCTCATGAAGTCAGCAAGAAGAAAATGGTTCCACTGGAACTGAAGGTGGAGATGGTTACGAGGTAGAACCCAAAGATCTGGAAAAATCAAAAGTGCTCTTAACCAATGAGCCATTTCTTCAGCTTCGACATCCAGATTCCTTTACTAAACATAAATTATGTGTTAATTATAGTTTGTGTGTGTGTGTGTGTGTGTGTGTGTGTGCACAGCACTATAGCAATATTAAACACTAACTTAGACACAGACTCACACCCAATTAAAATTCTCTCCATTCTTTTGGAACTCTATCTGAGCCCATATTTCCACATCATTAAATACAGAACTCACCCTTTCCTTTCCGACTCCATTCAGAAAAGTCTTCTACCCTATACATGGATCCCACCAGACAGCCCATATTTTTAAACAAGGTCTCATTAAGAGCATCCTGGTATAAACATTAATTTTTTTTTAAGAGAAACAATCAGACGAGGTGGTGTACACTTTTAACCTCAGCAATTCAGAGGCTCTAGACTAGAAGTCAAGACTCAGAATCAAGATGGTGAGACAGGGCGTCCATTCTTCAGGTAGAGGGCTTCGTGCCCGCCAGTTATGTGAAGGAGATGAACCAGAATTAGGAGGAAGATTGTGATCAGTTCATAGGGAACACCCTCATCTCCTTAGCTTGCTGGGAGTCACCCCACTATTTTAAGGAAACTGCACTGCACATGAAGGTTGGGGGTCCACTGTGGGGACCTAAAAAAAGGGACCAGTAGACAGTGTTTCTCCTCTCAGCCGATGGATTGATGTAAGACTCTTAAGTGAATGACGTTAGGACATATCTGTCTGCCTGGTGATGAGCTACGGGAAGTGCTATCCATAGCCAATATACAACTTTTCTGAATCGACAGAGATACATATCTTGTGGTTCCCATGGGCCCTTTTTACTAATATTAGGTCTCTGAGTGTTGATACATTGTAAATTATGTCAGCTCCAACTTCTAGCAAAGGTTAAATACAAGGGCATTGTGTCTGAGGTGTCCCTCTCTTGGTAGTCACTTGGTTCCCAAAGATACTTGTGTGTGTGGTATCCTTGATGAATATGTCTTCACAATTAGTCATGGTTTAGGGCAACGCCCACATAACAATCATGACACATCAAGTGCAGGACTTTCTGTCTCTATTTCTAAGAACAAGAAACGTGATGAAGGAAAAAATAGTGTGATACCAAGTTCTTATATTGCCACCTGATTAGACAGACAAAGGGAATAAGGGTAGTCTCGGGGACAGCAAGAGCAAAATACAGACAGACATTACAATTGCAGGGTTAAAATACACTTCTCGAGTTGGGTAGATCCTAGAGGCCAAGAAAATGAAATCTGACCAAGTAAGGCAGGCTTTTGTTTGAAGGTTGCCGGCCACAGCCACAGGGTACGAGTTTGGAAAACTCAGGCCCCACAGCTCCCCGGTGTAAGTGCTGGCAATCTCGGCACTCAGGAAGACCAGACTGAAGAGTCAAGAGTTCAAGGGCTACATGGGCTGGATGAGGCTGTTAGCGAAAGAAGCATGAAAGGAAAGAAGAGGACAGTGGACCTGGACCCCCTCTCCCTTCGTTCTAGCTTTTAATAACTTATCAGCCAACTTTAGGATCCAGCTGAATATCGTAGCCTGAATATACTGGTTTGCAAATGCTGGACAACCATTCAGACCTTCTTCGTAGGAGAGTGGACCTGCTGTGCTCACACTGGATTGAAAATTCTTTGCACACGCCCCTCTGAACAGCCCCAGCAGAAGGATGTCAGAGAGGAAGAGGCTTGGAAGAAAGGAACTGAGTGACAGTAATATTCCAAGGTGTTCTCACGAGAGAGGGAGTTCTGGGGACTGAATCCATGCTTTTCCACCCCAAAGCCACGGCATTCTGGGTGTGGCTTGAACCTAGGAAGCAGCTGAAGAGGTCAGTGACTGAGAGTGCCACCAGACTGTACTGCTCCAAGTTCCCAGAGTCGGATTATTCCTGTATGGCTACTGTGTTGGAGAAAACACTCTTCAGTCCTTCCAGGAGTTCCACTTACAAGTTAATAATTGCCTGGGTCCAAATTATGATTCAGAATGCACAGTTGTCTCTCTGACTCCACAAAACACCTGTTTCCTCATCTCATATTTTATCAACTCTGTCCCTGTAATCAGAACTCACTTCATAACCAGTTCCAGAACAACCTCCCCCCTCCATAAACAAACTAAATAAAATAAATACCTATCAACAAAAGAATACACACAGAGAGAACTGAAACAGTAAACTAGTTTCTAGCTTTTCAGACACCTACGCCCAGAGATTATTTAATGTCTGAAGTCTGTGGAACACCTGTTGGACCATGGAGCCCATGAAGGTAGATCTCATTAAAAGCAATTAACTCAGTAAAAGGGCCAGGCATCCGTTCTCTCAGGTGGTAGTTTGCAGCTTCTTGGAATGACTTAGACTATCCTTTGTAGAAAGCCTTGTGCTACAATAGTAATAGAAACAATTTAAGGAACTGGTCAACGTTTAAACAGGTAAAGGAAAAGGTGTCCCTCTGGGAACCACATGGTAGAAAGAAAAGAGTACAGAGATCTGCCTACCTCTGCCTGCCTAGGGCGGGGATACCATACCTGGATGACATACATATCTGCAATGAGCTTTTACAAAGGTCTAATACTAATTTTGCCCTTATCCCTCAAGATTATCAGAAAAATTAAATAGACAAACAGTATTCTGAAACTTAATTTACTTAAACTAAATCAGCTCAGCCAGCAAGATGGTTCCTGATAAAGATGCCTGCTGCCCTGCAGAAAGACCTGAGTTAAACTTTTAGAACCAATACAGTTGGTGGAAGGAAAGAGAGAGTCAGCTCACACAAGTTGTCTCCTTGCCTACACATACAAATTAAATGTGTAGTAAACCAAGTTGACTGTCTTATGTTGGGCAAAAGTCTTCCACTAGTCTTAATGGCCTCTAGAGCCACTCCTGTACGAATACCAAAACTGGTCAATTCTAGTAGCTCAGGCCTTTAATCCCATCACATGTGGGACAGAAACAGCTGGATCTCAGTGAGTTTGAGGCCATCCTGGTCTTGGTAGTTATTTCAGGCCAGCTGGGGGTGAAGCAAATATCTAAGTGGATTCCTCTTGTAGACCCGTGACTTTGATGATGAACTCAGTGTCTCCCTTACTGACACTAATATGATCAGCTTCAAGGCTTTGGTACACTCATCAGGAACAAATTTCAACCATAACAACCTACCAACAAATGTGAGACAATCTGCGACATAGAGCCTGAATCAAACATTTCTTTACTTCTTTGAGGCAGAGGAGCCAACCCAGGGCTTTGAATATAATGAGTCTGTTCATCACCACTCAGCTGTATCCAAAGTTACTTTTCTCAAGCCACCTCATATACTACTATGCCAGCTGATATACAATGGGCAATATATATCAGTAATCCTTCCCCTAGATTCAGGCCACATCATTCAGTAGACACTTCCCTAAGATGCTCAAACAAGACTCCATCTGAAAATGGCAATGGACTCCCTAATACTGAAGTAGAGACAGTAGAGAGCTTGGAACTGAAACACTGCCATCAGAAAGAACATGTGCTCTTAACCACAAGGCCATCTTTCCACCTCGCAAATTCAGAGTGTTTTAATTAAACAAAATTAGGTTTTGCTTATTATTTGGGGGTATGCATGTATGTGAACATGCCATAGGAAACGGAGGTCTGCAGACAACTTTAAAGAATTAGTCTTCTATCCTGGTAGTGGTGGCCTATGCCTTTAATCCCAGAACTCAGGAAGCAGAGGCAGGAGGATCTCTAAATTCAAGGCCAGCCTGTTCTACAGAGTGAGTTCCAGGACTGCCAGAGATATACAGAGAAACCCTGTATGGGAAATCTAAAACAAATAACAACAAAAAAGAATTAGTCTTCTTGTTCTTCACAAAAGTCAGGTCCTGGTCCTGATGCAGACAGCAAATTTATTTGCTGAGTCATCTCAAACATACTCCATGTCTTTTTTGTTTGAATCGTCATACCCATCTGTGAGATGCATGTTGGTCATTCCAGGAAACTCAGATAATGAGACCTTAAACTTTACTGCACATGAAGTTTGAGAGTCTCCTGTATGAACCTGACATGAGGAACCAGGTGACCGTGGCTCCTTTTCTCTGCAGATGGATTGATGTAGGACTGACTGAATAGGATTAGGAAATATTTCTATACTGGGTGTTGAACTATGGAAGGTTCTCTTCTTAGACAACCTAAATAAGTTCTGGATGTATGGAGAGATATATATTTTGTCGTCCAGCCATGTCCTCAATTCAGTCAGAGTGTTCCCCTTGCTCCACATACTCACCAGCATGAGCTGTCACTTGTGGTTTTTTATTTTGGCCATTCCAACAGGTATAAGATAGTTTGGACTATCTTATACCTGTTGGGAATATAAAATTGTAAAGCCATTTTGGAATCAATATGGTGGCTTCTCAGAAAAATGGAAATTGATCTATCTCAAGACCTAGTTATACTACTACTGGGCATGTACCCAAAGAATGCTCCATCCTACCACAAGGACATTTGCTCAACAATGTTCATAGCATTTTTATTTGTAATAGCCCGAAACTGGAAACAACCTAGATGTGCCTCAACTGAAGAATGAATAAAGAAAATGTGGTACATTTACACAATAGAGTATTACTCAGCTGTTAAAAACAAATGGATGAAACTAGATAAGATCATCCTGAGTGAGGTAACTCAGACCCAGAAAGACAAACATGGTATATAACCATGCTACAATATAGACCCAGAGAAACTAAATAACAAGGAAGGATCAAGGGGTGATGCATGGATCTCACTGTGAAGAAGAAATAGAAAGGACAACACCAGTGAACAGGGTGAGGCATCTGCATAGGGGTGTGGGGATGAGAACAGGAGGGTCATGAGGATGGGGGGGGGGGATGGAGGGAAAGAGTACTGGGAGAAACATTTCTGGGAAGAGTTAGAAACCTAGTGCAACGGAAACTCTCTTGTCTCTATTTTGAATAAACAAATTGAGGAAGAAATATTTGGATACCAATTCTCTTATTATCTAAATGTACGGGCAAAAGAGAACATATGTTGGCTGGAGATGGCTCAGAGGTTAAGAGCACTGGCTGCTCTTCCAAAGGTCCTGAGTTCAATTCCCAGCAACTATATGGTGGCTCACAACCATCTGTAATGAGATCAGGTGCCCTCTTCTGGCCTGCAGGGATGCATGCAGGCAGAACACTGTATACATAATAAATAAATAAATCTTAAAAAAAAAAAAAGAACATATGTCACAGCTTCAGGGACAGCCACACCAAAGTACAGACAGAAATCACAATTACAGGTTCAAAATCCAGAACTAAGCTTGGAGAGAGTTTTGAGGTCAAGAGTATGACATTTGTTCAACTATTGGAGGGTTTTGTTTGAAGGTGGTCACTTGTAAGGGTCCCACTCAAGTCTCAATGGATATCATAATCTGCAAAGAATGAAAACCAGTGCATATTTGACTTTGTCAACCTGGGTCAGACTTTAGGGAGTCTATTGCCAGACTGTTCACTGACAGCACATTGAAAACATAGTACAATTTAGGCAAGTGTTCCAGGCAGCAACCAGTCCAACCAGTCCAATTCCAGGTGCAAATTAAAGCCTAGGGTGTGACTACATAGAAACTTTTTTACAAAGTACACATGACCATGATGATGGGTTCTACAGCTAAAAGGCCAATATCTAGTGTGATCTTGGACCAATAACATAGAGGTTAGCAGGCCGTAAAGTATATGTGACCTGTAGTCTGGGATAATCATTCTGAGGAATTTGGGTGAAGTCTGCCTCTATACCTAAAGCTCTCCATGTCCTCAACAAAATCCACTCTGGGTTTTCAAGATGGAATGTAGGTATTGATTTTTTATCTCCATCGATGAGACATCCCTACATGATTAAAATTCCTGGTATTCACCAGTGGTGGTGCACGCCTTTAATCCCAGCACTTGGGAGGCAGAGGCAGGTGAATCTCTTGAGTTCGGGGCCATCCTGGACTTGAGTTCCAGGAAAGGCACAAAGCTATACAGAGAAACCCTGTCTCAAAAAAAAAAAAAAAAAAACAAAAACAAAATTCCTGGTATTCTTAATGCACTGTGTCCCGAAAAATCACTAACTGTGAAGAACACCAGACAATACTCCTCCAGGTTACTGGAGTCCCACACTACCTTTAAAAGCTACCAGAACAACATTTACATGTATTAATTGTTTCTCTGATCCAAATCATCACTTAGAAAAGCATATAATTTTCTCTCTGACTCTACCAGTCTCCTGTCCCTTCATCCCATTGTTCTTCATGTCAACCTGAGTCCCTGTGATCTGAACCCATTGCATTCCATTTTCCTTCCAAAATATTAAGCACTGTGAAGCAATATGCTCTAGAACCCCTTGATGAGAGACATGTCTGTCAGATGCCATGACTTGGTTAGGGCGATGGGGAAAGAAACAGGTATTAAAATGCTGGGAATAAGTGGGCTGTGCACTCCGATGAAGACACACTAGCAACCCATAAAACTCAGCACATTTTATTATAGGCAATCAAGGATGTACACAGTATACATACACTCCCAACACTAGGCTTCCATTTTTAGTACCAGAAGAAACCTTATCCTACTTATCAAAAACGGAAGGCAAAAAAGTCTGACCTCCAGGGTATAGAATCGTAAGTGAAAGCATTCCAAGCAGAATAAAAAGACACTTTCTTGGGCTCCCTTTCTGCCCTGATTATATCCAGCAGCTCAGCACAAAGTAGGTTAAATTCCTCATAGCATAACCGAGGGGTAGGGTACATCTCATGGGTCAGCTTTCTCAGCTTGGCTGTATGATGTAGAAGGTTCTTCAGGACAGACAGAGAGATATCATTATTTTTGAAATTGACCTCAGTAAGCTGGGAACATTGGCTCAGGGAAGGCAAGATAGCATTGAAATGACAGTCCCTCATCTTGCACTCCTCTAATCCCAGGGTTTGCAGGGTACTTGCGATTCTCTCAAGGAGAACCCCAAGAAGCTTAGGGCATGAATCAGATAGCTCTATACCACTCAGGTTCAGATGTTTGAGCTCACGGATGTTCAGGCACTGGCTCAGGTAATCCAAGTCTGACTGGGAGAGCCTACAGCCAGTGATTGACAGGATCTTCAAGGGGGTCTTCAGGCACCTAGGAAGAGATCAAGAGATTAGATATGCTAAATAGTATTGAAGAGGATTGGTGGGAATGAAGCTAGGCAGATGATGCTTTCCCCAAATTTAGTCTGTCTATATGATGGATTCATTCAGCTTCATCCTAGCAGTGTCTTTAAGAGTCCCTTGCTATGGGCCCTGGGACACAGCCAGTCCACAGGAACCCCCACCCAACTCTGCCCCAGTTGCTGGCCAGCAGGGAAAACCCCTGAGGCCAGGCTCCTCCTACCAAACTCCCATCAGACTCTGCAATCCACAAGACCACACCCTACCCCAATACCCATCTGCCTGCGACCCCAGTTACTTCCTGAGACAAGGAAACCAATCTGCCAGCTCTCCCTGGATCAAGAGGTGAGTGACTCTTCTCCCACCCAGAGAGTCCTGCCTCTAGGACCCAAATCCTGGGAAACAACCAGTCCCCAGGAACCCCCATCCACCTCTGCCCCAGTTGCTGGCCAGCCGTGAAAACTCCTGTGGCCAGGCTCTCCCCACCAAAAACTCCCATCAAACCCTGCAATCTACAAGACCCACACCCTACTCCAATACCCATCTGCCCGAGACCCCAGTAACTTCCTGAGACAAGGAATCCACCAGCTCCCATGTGGATTCCTGAGACACAGGATCTACTAGCTCTCATTGGACCAAGAGAGCCTTCATGAGAAAAAGAATCCACCAGCTCTGACTACACCTAGAGCCCTGATAAGACCAAGAGGGGCTCCCTGAGCCACAGAATCAGCTAGCTTGGATTGGAATAAGAGTAGCTCCCTGATATACAGAATGTGCCAGCTCCAATTAAACCAAGAGCTAAGATTGAGACACAGACACAACAAGCACAGAGTGTACCAATAGCAGCTCATTCTGACACAGGCACCTCTTGCACCTAATAGAGGAAGAGATGAGTAGACATCAGGGCAAAAATACATACAACAACATAAAGAGCAAAACAGCATCACCAGAACCTAGCCTCCTATAACAGCAAGACCTGAACATCACAAGGTAGAAGAAGCAGAAGAAAGCGACCTTAAAAATAGCTTCATGAAGATGCTAGAGGCCTTTAAAGAAAAAATGCAAAATTCCCTTAAAGAAATTGAGGGAAAGGCAAATAAAAAATTGGAAGAAATCAATAAATCCCTTAAAGAAGACCAAAAACCCATGAAAAAGCAATTGAACATGTGAAGGAAACAATCCAAGATCTGAAAATTGAAATAGAAACAATGAAGAAGACACAAACAGAGGGAATGATGGAAATAGAAAATCCCAGTAAACAAACAGGAAGCACAGATGCAAGTATAACCAACAGAATGCAAGAGATAGAAGACAGAATCTCTGGTGTAGAGGTACAATAGAGGAAATAATTTGTCAATCAAAGAAAACACCAAAGCCAAAAAAAGTCATAACACAAAATGTCCAGGAAATCTGGGACACCATGAAACGGCGAAACCTAAGAATAATAGGAATAGAAGAAGAAGAAGAATACTCACTCAAAGGCACAGAAAAATATATTCAACAAAATCATGGAAGAAAACATTCCCAATTTAAAGAAGGAAATATCTATGAAGATACAAGAAACTTATAGAACACCAAATAGACTAGACTGCCCCAAGAAGTTCCCTTCTCACATAATAATTAAACCACTAAAATACAGAATAAAAAAGAATAGTAAGAACAGCAAAGGAAAAAGCCAAGTCACTTATAAAGGCAGACCCATCGTATAACACCCGACTTCTCAATGGAGACTTTGAAAGCCAGAAGGTCCTGGACAGATGTAATGCAGACACTAAGAGACCATGGATGCCAGCCTAGACTAATATACCCAGCAAAACTTTCAACCACCATAGATAGAGTGAACAAGACATTCCAAGATAACACCAGATTTAAACAATACCTATCCATAAATCCAGCACTCCAAAAAGCACCAGAAGGAAAATTCCAACATAAGGAAGTCAGATACACACACGAAAACACAGGCAATAGATAACCCCACAGTAGTAAATCCCAAAGAAGAGAAATAAACACAACACTACCACCAAAAAATAACAGGAATTAACAATCACTGGTCATTAATATCCATTAATATCAATGGACTTCATCCACCTATAAAAAGACACAGGCTAACAGAATAGATACAAAGTAGGACCCATCTTTCTGCTGCATACAAGAAACATGCCTTGCCCGTTGGTGGTGGTGTACATCTTTAATCCCAGAACTCAGGAGGCAGAGGCAGGTGGATCTCTGTGAGTTCAAGGCCAGCCTGGTCTACAGAGTGATTTCCAGGACAGGCTCCAAAGCTACACAGAGAAACCCTGTCTCAAAAAAACCTAAAAAAAAAAAAAGAAAGAAAAAAGAAAAAAGAAAAAAGAAAAAGAAACACACTTCAAGTCAAAAGCCAGACACTACCTCAGTGTAAAAGGCTGAGAAAAGTCTTTGCAATCAAATGGACTTAAAAAACAAGCTGGTGTAGCTATTCTAGTATCTAACAAAATAGACTTCAAACTAAAAATCAAAAGAGAACAAGAAGGACATTATATACTCATCACAGGAAAGATCCACCAAGATGAAGTTTCAATTCTGAACATTTATGCCCCAAATACAAGGGCACCCACATATGTAAAAGAAACATTACTAAAGTTAAACCACACATCAAACCCCACACATTAATAGTGGGAAACTTCAGCACCCTACTCTCATCACTGGACAGATCTCCCAGATGGAAACTTAAGAGAGAAATGAGGGACATGACTGATGTTATGACTCAAATGGACTTCATAGTTATCTACAGAACAATCCACCCTAATACAAAAGAATATACCTTCTTCTCAGCACTCCATGAAACCTTGTATAAAATCGTCCACATATTCAGTCACAAAACAAATCTCAACAGATACAAAAACTAAAATAAACCCCCTATATTCTATCAGACCATCATGACTTACAGTTAGATTTCAACAACAACAAAATTACAGAAAACCTACAATCTCATAGGAACTGAATAATGCTCAACTTAAGCACCAATGGGTCAAGGAAGAAATAAAGAAAGAGATTAAAGACTTCCTAGAGTTCAACGAAAATGAATTTACTACAAAGCCAACTTATGGGACACTATGAAAGCAGTGCTAAGAGGAAAATACATAACACTAAATGCCCACATAAAGAAGTTGGAGAAAGGACTGGAGAGATGGCTCAGTGGTTAAGAGCACTGACTTTTCTTCCAGAGGTCCTGAGTTCAATTCCCAGTAACCACATGGTGGTTCTCAACCATCTGTAATGAGAATATGTATATATAATTAATAGCTAAATCTTTAAAAAAAAAAGAAGTTGGAGAAATCTCACACTAATGACTTAACAGCACAACTGAAAGCTCTAGAACAAAAAGAGACAAACACCCAGGAGGAATAGACACCAGGTAATAATCAAATTGAGAGCTGAAATCAATGAAATAGAAACAAAGAGAACAGTATAAAGAATCAATGAAACAAAGAGTTGTTTCTTTGAAAAAAAATCAACAAGATAGACAAGCCCTTATCCATCCTAACCAAAGGCAGAGAGACAGCATCCAAATCAACAAAATCAGAAATGAAAAGGGAGATATACAACTGACAATGAGGAGATCCAGAGAATCATCAGGTCATACTTCAAAAACCTGTACTCCACAAAATTGGAAAATCTGAAAGAAATGGATAATTTTCTGGATAGGTACCACATACCAAAGTTAAATCAAGATCAGATAAACTATTTAAATTGACCTATAACCCCTAAGGAAATAGATACAGTCACCTAAAAGTCCAACCAAGAAAAGTCCAGGACCACAAGATTTCAACAAATAATTCTACTAGATTTTCAAAGAAGAGTTAATTCCAATATTCTTCAAATTGTTCCACACAATAGAAGCAGAAGGAACATTACCAAACTCCTTTTATGAGGCTACAGTTACTGATTCCCAAGTCACACAAAGATGCAACAAAGAAAGAATTGCAGACCAATCTACCTCATGAACATTAATGCAAAAATATTCAATAAAATACTGGCAAACATACTCCAAGGACACATCAAAAAAATTGTCCACAATGACTAAGTAGGTTTCATCCCAGGGATGCAAGCATGGTTCAACATACAAAAATCTGTCAATGTAATACACCATATAAACAAACTGAAAGAAAAAAACACACATGATCATTTCGTTAGATGCTGAAAAGGCCTTTGACAAAATCCAACACCACTTCACGATAAAGGTCATGGAGAGATCAGGAGTAAGGGAAAATACCTAAATATAATAAAGGCAATTTACAGCAAGTCAACAGCCAACATCAAAATAAATGGAGAGAAACCTCAAAGTGATTCCACTAAATTCAGAAACAATACAAGGGTGACCACTCTCCCCATATTTATTCAATATTGTACTTGAAGTTCTAGCTAGAGAAATAAGACAATAAAAGGAGATCAAGGGGATACAAATTGGAAAGGAAGAAGTCAAAATTTCACTATTTGCAGACAATATGATAGTATATATAACTGACCCCAAAAATTCTACCAGGGAACTCATACATAAACAGATAAACTCCTTCAGTAAAGTGGCAGGATACAAGATCAACTCAAAAAAAAAATCAACTATATACAAATGATAAAAGGGCTGAGAAAGAAATCAGAGAACCATCACCCTTTCCAACAGCCACAAATAATATAAAATACCTTGGTGTAACTCTAAGCAAATGAAAGACCTGTATGACAAGAACTTAAAGTCTCTGAAGAAAGAAATTGAAGAAGGTATCAGAAAATGGAAAGAACTCCCATGCTCATGGATAGGTAGGATTAACAAAGTAAAAATGGCAATCTTACCAAAAGCAATCTACAGATTCAATGCAATCCCCATCAAAATTCCAACACAATTCTTCACAGTCCAGGAAAGGAAAAACTCAATTTCATTTGGAAAAAAAGAAAATGTAGGATAGCTAAAAGAATCCTGTACAACCAAGCTACTCTGGAGGCACCATCATCCCTGACATCAAGCTCTACTATAGACCTATAGTATAAAAACCAGCCTGGTATTAGCATAAAAACTGACATATGGACCAATGGAATCAAATTGAAGACCCGGACATTAATCCACATACATTTGATCACCTGATTTTTGTTTGACAAAGAAGCCAAAACTGTACAATGGAAAAAAGAAAGTATCTTCCACAAATGGTGCTGGCATAACTGGATGTCAACATGGTAAAAGATGGCAAATAGATCCATATCTGTCACCATGCACAAAACTTAAGTCCAAGTGGATCAAAGACCTTAACATAAATCCAGTTACACTGAACTTGAGAGAGGAAAAAGTAGAAGTACTCTTGAATGCATTGGCACAGGAGACCACTTCCTAAATATAACATCAGTAGCACAGACACTGAGAGCAACAATTAATAAAGGGGACCTCTTGAAACTGAGACTCTTTTGTAGGGCAAAAGACATGGTCAATAAGACAAAAAGAGCCTACAGAATGGGAAAAGATCTTCACTAACCCCACAGCTGACAGAGGGCTGATCTCCAAAATATATAAAGAACTCAAACTAGACATCAAAGTAAGGAACAATCCAATTAAAAAATGGATATAGGGGTAGTGGTGGTGCACACCTCTAATTCCAGCACTTGGGAGGCAGAGCCAGGTGGATCTTTGTGAGTTCGAGGCCAGCCTGGTCTACAGAGTGAGATCCAGGACAGGTACCAAAACTACACAGAGAAACCTGTCTTGACACAAAACAACAACAACAACAAAAAAACAAAAACAAGCCAGGCGGTGGTGGTGCACGCCTTTAATCCCAGCACTTGGGAGACAGAGCCAGGCGGATCTCTGTGAGTTCGAGGCCAGCCTGGTCTACCAAGTGAGTTCCAGGAAAAGGCGCAAAGCTACACAGAGAAACCCTGTCTCGAAAAACCAAAAAACCAAAAAAAACAAAAAAAAAAAAAAACAAAAAAAAAAAAAACAAACCAAAAACAAACAAACAAAAACAAAGGACTATAGAGCTAAATAGAGAATTCTCAAAAAAAAAATTCAAATGACCAAAAGACATTTAAGGAATTGCTCAGCATCCTTAATCATCAGGTAGATGCAAATCAAAACAACTCTGAGATACCATCTTACACCTGTCAGAATGGCTAAGATCAAAAGCATTGCACACAGCTTATCTTGGAGAGGATGTGGAGCAAGGGGGACACTCCTCCACTGTTGGTGGGAGTGCAAACTGGTACAGCCACTTTGGAAATCAGTATGGCAGTTTCTCAGAAGATTGGGAATCAATCTACCTGAAGACCCATCTATACCACTCTTGGGCATATACCCTAGGAATGCTCAAACATACCACAGGGACACATGCTCAACTATGTTCATATCACCATTATTTGTAATAACCAGAACCTGTAAACAACCTAGATGCCCCTCAAGTGAAGAATGGATTAAGAAAATGTGGTACATACACAATGGAGTACTATTCAGCAGAGAGAAACAATGACATCTGTAGTGGGTAGCTGTTTCAACTTTGTCCAGGAATTACTACCCCAATTGATGCTTTTGGTAACTGTCATGCCTACAAGGTAGGGCTGAGACAGGAGCTCTAAAGACCTGAGATCTGGAAGTGCAGGCTCTCTTGGTTCCTGGATCCTGGATGCTGGAGGTAGACTGAGCAGAGTTCTCCAGAGAACACCGCTGGACTGTGCTTCACCTTTCCTGGAACCTGTAACCTATCCCTTCACTTGTAAGTTACCCCACAAAATAAACCTCCCTTTTAACTAGGTGGAGTTGTCTTAATAAATATTTTAACCAATAGACATCTTGAAATTTGTGGGCAAATGGATGGAACTAGAAAATATCATCCTGAGTGAGGTACCCCAAACTCGGAAGGACAAACATGGTATATACTCACTTATAAGTGTATACTAAATGTAAAGCAAAGGATAATTAGACAACAACTCACAACTCCAGAGAAGCTAACAAGGAAGACCCAAAGAGGGATGCATGGATCGCCTTGAGAAGGGGAAATATATATTTCCATGAGTAAAATGGGGATGAGAGGTGGGCAATGGAGGGTAGGGGATAGGGGATGAGAACATAAGGGAATGGGATGGTTGAGCTAGAACAGGGAAGGAGGAGGAAAGCAATGAAGAAATACCATGATAGAGGGAGATATCATGGGTATAGAGAGAAACCCAGTGCTAGGAAAGTTGCCAAGAATCCCCAAGGATGACCCCAGCTTGGACTACTAGAAACAGTGGAGAGGGTGCTGGAACTAAACTGGCTTTCCCCAGTGATCAGATGGGTGAACACCCTAACTGTCATCACAGAGTTTTCTCCAATGACTGATGGAGGCAGATGCAGAGATCCACTGCCAAGCACCAGGCAGAGCTCCAGGAGTCCAGTCCAAGAGAGAGAAGAGGGATTCTATGAGCAAGTGCATCCGGACCATGATGGGGAAACATGCAGAGACAACCAAACCAAACCAGTGGGAAATCATGAAAGGTGGATCAACAGCTGTGGAGCCTGCATGGGACTGGACTAGGCCCTCTGCATGGTGAGGCAGTTGCATAGCTTGATCTGCTTGGGGGGCACCCTGGCGGTAGGATCAGAATCCATCTCTGGAGCATGAGCGGGCTTTTTATAGCCCTCTACATACAATGGGACACCTTGTGCAGCCTTGAGGCAGGAGAATGGCTTAGAATTGCTTCTACTGGATGTACCTCCTCATGGGAGGCCTTGCCTTCTTGTGGGTGGGAGTGGAGGGTGGGTTGGGAGGGGGGCTGGTGTGGGGAGAGGAGGGAAGAGGGGGATCTTTGATTGGTGTGTAAAATGAATGAAAAAAATTTTTTTGTTTTTTTTGAGACAGGGTTTCTCTGTATAGCTTTGTGCCTCTCCTGGAACTCACTTTGGAGACCAGGCTAGCCTCGAACTCATAGAGATCCTCCTGCCTCCGCCTCCCAAGTGCTGGGATTAAAGGCGTGAGCCACCACTGCCCAGCCTGAAAAAAATTTCTTAATATATAAAAAAAGAGTCTCCTGATATATTTGTTCCCCACCACTGCTGTGTCCAGTTTCCCCAAATTCAAACCCAATATCACCTATTTCCCAGCTACTCAACCCCTTTTTGGACCCCAAACAATGTTTTACACATGAGCAATTACAGGTGTGCTGGTGCCTGTTCACAAATATCTGAGCATAGAGCTCATCTGCCAGGTTAACCGATGTCTCCACCACTGCTAGGTTCACAGTGGTCAGACCATCAAGGACCCACTAATCTGTAAAGAAAAGGATGTGGTTGCCATGTTCTGGAGGACACTCTCCATCCTTCCTTACCTGAGCCACTTTTCAAGGCAGCCTGTTAAAAAGTAGATATTATGTACAGAGAGATTCTGGAGACAAGGGAATCTGGAGATCTGAGAAAGCAACATGCTTATCCATTCCTGCTCTGCAGAAGCAGCAGATCTGAAGGGCTTCCAAATTACCGCTAGCACAAGGGTGTGAAGATTTCTCATCTGCTCCAGGTAAGGACAAAGATCTATGATGAATTCCAGTGGCCATCGACTCAGCTGCAGCTCCAGGATACAGTCTAGATTTATCCTTTTGAAGATCTGTACAGCAGCGAAGACCGGTGAATCCCAAATCTTCAGCTTTCTACAGCATAGATGAATGGAATCTTTTCGCTGCTGGGCCCACTGTAACAAGTACCAGTCACGTTGATTGTACCTGGCCTTCATGAGTTCAAGATCAGTTACTACCTTAAAACGTTTCTTCACCCCAGAGTTAGTACTGACTTCCACTGGTTGCTCCTGCCTCTCGGCTTGTGGTGAGCAGTCACCTTCATGGGTTCCTGCTCTAATGCTCCAGAAGTCATGGTCCACACCCGTCAAATCAAGCACTCTGAGTTTTGACCTCCTGTTGGTAAAACAGGTAGAATTCCCAGAAGATAAGACAAGATACATCTTACAGTCTACTTCTTGTCCACATCTCATAACAGCTTCCCTTCCAAATCTTTGCTTTCTCAAGATCAAGCCTCGTGCTCAGTGAAAATGGATATTTGCCAGCAAGGCATCTCACCTCCCTCCATTCCGTTCCCATTAACCCCAGCCTCATTCCACTTTTAACTGTGGAGCTGGCAGGGAGAGGCCTATTCCTCAGTGACTATGTCTACTCTTGTGCCCTCCACATGTCATTAATTGCCCAGACACCTGAGACCTGGCCCAAACCTCTGCAGTTCTCTATGCTGATGCTATAAGAAGCCTCTGATCTACCTTTGGCTAAGTTCTCCGTGTCCCCAGTTGTTCCTTCTCTGCACCCCCACAGCCTTCCTCCATCCTAGCTGGGTCCTGATTACCTGGGATGACCCTTGTCTATAATCAGCACATCTAGTCCAGCAAGCAGAGCTTTCAAAGTCTCCAGGTCAGAGTCCTTTATCAGGGCTCTTACAGAAAGGTCTGGGAATGGCCAGGCAGACACCATGGCCCTCAGGATGTTTGTACGTCTGTCGTTGAAGGCCTCCTGAAACATCTCCCGGAGCAGCTCCACAGGCAGGTCCTCCAGAATAGAAATGGTCAAGTCCTCCTCCCTCAGCAGCCTCTATCTTGCCAGCTTCTTGAGTGTGGGTGGGGCCCGGTGTCCCATCAAGACTGGTTTTCAGGGATAATAATCCTGAGGAAGCATGAAAGCAAAGACACCATTCAGAAAACTTAGGAAGCCTTTCCTCTTCCCACACAAGGACCTCTCTGTGGTGATGGTGGACATCTCAGTTTTCACATTTTGATTACCATGTGATGGTTTTAAAGCCACACCTATCCTGTCTGCAGTGGGAAGCCTCTCAAAAGCATGCTCTTTCCCAAACACCCCATCCTATTCCAACCACAGTTCAGGTGAAGCCATTTCCACTAAGGGCTCTCCAGGAAGCCTGAAGGCTCAGCCCATGTGGTCAGTTCTCCAGGACCTCAAAGAAAGCAAAGGAAACATCCCATTTCCAACCTTACCAGTTTCCGTTCACCTGGCTGACCCAGCCTGGAACAATTGAGGGAATCTGTGAGATGGACATTATTAGTTATTGACCTCACTTGTTGGTTATCACTGGTCCTGATGTTTCAGGAGGGTTGCAAGCTTGTATTCTCTGTGCTACAGAGCTGAACAGAGTAAGAAAGGAACAGCCAGGCAGTGGTGGCCTGTAGCCTGAGTTTTCCTGCCTGGCCCAGGGTCAGGGCAAATCTCTCACCTGCCAGTCCCACAGCCGCTCAGACCCAACCAAGTAAACACAGAGACTTATATTGATTACAAACTGTATGGCCATGGCAGGCTTCTTGCTAACTGTTCTTACAGCTTAAATTGATCCATTTCCATTAATCTATACCTTGCCACATGGCTCGTGGCTTACCGGCATCTTCATATGCTGTTTGTCATCATGGTGGCTGGCAGTGTCTCTCTGCCTCAGCCTTCCACTTCCCAGCTTTATTCTCCTCCTTGTCCCGCCTACACTTCCTGCCTAGCCAATGGCCAATCAGTGTTTTATTTATTAACTAATTAGCAACACATTTGCCATACAGAACATTCCACAGCAGTGACCCACGTCTTTAATCCCAGCACTTGGGAGACAGAGCCAGGTAGATCTCTAGGAGATGGAGCCCAGCCTACTCTACAGTGCAAGTTCTATGACAGGCTCCAGAGCTACAGAGAAACCCTGTCTTGAAAAAAAAAAAAAAGAGAGAAAAAACACTAAAAAGTAAAAAGTTGGTCAATAAACCTTCAGTAGCTACTGCCTAGGTCTGTAATGTTTGTGAAGCATCTGGAAAGGACTCTGGGATGCAAATGAAAATTTACATGTCACAGTCAAGAAACTCACTAGTCCAGTGTCATGGTTACTTACTCCTAGAGTTCTAGAACATGCTACTTGAGGTCTCACAAAACTAATAGAACATTAAAAATAAAAAAATGATATTTCCAATTAAGTATAAAATTATGGTTCACATTTTTAATTTGAACACTGAGACCAGGGAAGCAGGCTGCTTCCTGAAAAATTCACAACATCCTAGTCTCCATGATGGGACCATGTATCAACCAGCAGAGAAAAAGAACTTCTTGCTATTGTGGTTGTTGTTACAGAACCTCAGCCTGGGCAGTCCTAGAACTCACTCTGTATCCCAGGCTGGCCTCAAACTCAGAGAGCTCTGCCTGTCTCTGCCTCCCAAGTGCTGGGATTAAAGGTATATACAACCATTTCTGGTTTAAATTGACCTAAACATCAGCACAAGATGGGCCTTAGCGAAACATGTCTTTAATCTCATCACTTGGAGACAACTTCTATGAGTTCAAGTCAGCCTGTTCTACAGACAGATTCTGTGTCATGTCAAAACACCAAAAAAAGAAAGACAAAGAAAGAAAAAAGAAAGAAAGACAAAGAAAAAGACCAGCACAGTCCAATCATCTGAAAGATTCATGTGTAACTATCCCCCAGAATTTCCTGGAGTTCAGGTTCACCCTGATATTCACAGTGGAACTGTCTCTAAACAGGGACACTACAAACAGACTCAAATAATGACTTTGACATAAACAAAACTTGCTGGTTCTGATGATTATCCAGCAGAATCTCCAAGAACTTGAGGCCAGGCAGAGTTATGTAGGAAGTTCTTGTCATAAAACAAAAAAATTAGCAACTAAAAGAGATAGAAATGATACATTGAGGTGAACCTAAGGCTAGACTTTGGGTGAGACAGGGTGACTTGATTGAGGTAAGGGACTTACTTACCTGATCTGAACACTGGTAACAGATGTCCAGATCCCAGCCACGGGAGACGGTGGCTCCAAGAGGCTCCAGGCTCCAAGACTGAGGGTTTCTGATGGTTCTGACCCTTATATACTTTGGACACACCTCCCAGATGAAATCTGAAGCCTGATTGAATGACTGAGGCTCCACCCACTTCTTTTGGAATTCTGACGTTGTCTATGTGGAGTGGATCAGTTCTTCACCCATGAAAAGACTTAGACTAACTAAGGCAAAAGTTACTCACCAATTCATTGACCCAACTAAGGCACAGTGACTTGTTATGGATTGATGGACTTAGTTTCTGAATCTTTTGAGATGGGGTTTCACAGTGTTCTACCTAAGTTTAGCTGGAACTCAGTATGGTGCCTAGACTGGGCTCCAACACTCAGCAACCATTCTGTATCATACTGCCCTGTGATATGTGTGGGAGCCCATTTTCAGGTTCCTCGTGGCTTTACCCAGCTTGTCCTCATAGAGAGGATGATTAGGACCATGGGCCTTAGTGCAGGTGTCTGAGATGGTCTGCACTTGGCTGTGCTGGGGGGAGGTCTTTTGCTCCACCCCTTGGTGTCTCTATAAATACCCTGGGGCAGAGCCAGTCGGGCTATTGGAAAAAGTTCCAGGTCCTCTCGAGGCTATCCTTTATATTCTATCTGTTTATCTCCACAATCTAAATCTTTCTATCTAATATTTCCTGCTGCTCACATTCAAGAAAACACTGGGGAACTGTGGGGTTGGTGGGTTAACGCCCCACAGAATGGCGCCATGAACAGGGACTAAAGAAAAAAGAAAAAAAGGGGGGACTAAAGACAAATGAACAGGACTAAAGACAAAGTAATAGGGACTAAAGAAAAAGGAAAATAACAGTTTTATTACAGAGTTTTTGGCAAAAGTGTGAGTCACCCCTGCCAGTGGAAAGTGGCACGCCAGTGTTATGGAATATATATATATTATTGAGGGGCAGGGGTTTTTATCCTCGAGAGAAAAGGAAAATGGACTGGATGGATGTCCGATGCTGCAGCGCAAAATTCTCTTCTGTCAAAATTTTATATCTTCTATCCCTTTCTCTATTTCTATCTGAAAATTAAGTATAAGATATAGTGTAGTAATATAGTGTAGGAAAAACTTAGACGTGTAAGATCGTGTAGAAAAAAATAAGTAAGGCAACTAGACAGAAAAACTCTACAATTTTCTAACTTTGGGGGCTATGAATGCAAACTGGGAAAAAAATCTTTTTTTTGAGCTTCACAGGTAGTAAAAAAGCTCTTCTTTGAGCTTATGGGGAAGAAAAAGTTTGCTATGGAAGCTTTTGACCTGGGGACAGCTGAAATGCTAAGTCCAAGCAGCAGGAGAAAGTGATTTCTCCCTGAGGCAAAAATGGGGGTGTAAAAAGCCAAAGTTTAAAGTTTAGAAGTTTTGGGAAAAGTTGGTCTTTCACTCTTGAGAAAAAAATCTTTCTCTTAAACTAAAAAGCTTTCTAGCAAGTGCAAGGCCCTGGGTTTGGTCCTCAGCTCTTGAAAAACAAAAAACAAACAAAAAAACCCTAAAGCTTTTCTTGGAAAAATTGGGAAAATCTCTCTAAAAAGCCTTAATCTTTCTTTCTCAGACTAAAAGCTCTCTTAAACTTAAAAACTAAAGCCTTTCAGAACTCTCTCAGGAAGAAAAAATTAGAATCACCTGAAGATATTAGTATGGGAATCACCTGTGATTAGTTCAAAGGGAAAACAACAAACCTCTTAAGAGGGCAAAACCTCTCTAAGTTCTCTTTCAAGCTTCAAAAATCACCCCTGCAATGCAGGAGGCAGGGACAAGTTCCTAAAAACCTCTTCTAAGCTCTGTTTCTTCAAGCTAGTGAAAGGCAGTGGGTCAGAGTACCCTGAGGGAAAAGCTTGGGAGAGTGCGGGTAAAGAGCTACAGAGAGCCCAAAAGGGCAGGAAACTTTACTGGGAAAAGCAAAAAAAAAAAAAAAAACAAAAAACCAAGCTTTTCAGTTTCAGCTGAGCTGAGGCATCAAGGGTTCTGTTTCTGAGTGAGCATTTCAGAATGAAAAGGTGCTTAATCAATGGTACTAAAGCAAAGGTCCCCTGAAGCAATGCAAACTCCGTTAGCACTGTATCCTCGCTTCTGACCAACAACCCAGAGGCCACTGGCCAGTGCCTCTGAGTTGGAGTGCATTTCAGGGATACTGGGATTCCTGCAGTTGTAAACTTCCTGGAGCACAGAGCTGAGGCAGGAAGGTGCAGGACCCAGGGGAAGATGGCTAATGAACAAAGCAAGCTAAAGCCGGTGGGAACGGCACAGTTGTCTGCTTTCCTACAAGTCCCGGGTTGATAGGTCCACAGCTGCAAAAATGAAATCTGAGAAAAGCTTTTCTATCAGACTAAGGACCTAACCTTTCTGGGAAAACAGTAAAGCTGAACTGTGTCTAAAGCAGTCGTGCTGCTGAGTCAGAACGCTGTCTGGGGAAAGAGCCCAGCCAGGGCAGAACAGAACTATCCAGGAGTAAAGCTTTCTTTTCTATCAGAGAAAGCATCTCTTTGAGAAAAGCTTTGTTTCAACTGACTCCCAGTGAGATGAGGGAGTATAGTCCTGAGGGGTGATTGCCTCTGGCATAAGCTCTGTCCTTAAGCACCCAGACAAGCAAACACAACCCACTGGGGGACTGGGCCAGGTGAAGGCCTGATGAGGCAAAACACCTGTCCTAATGGGAGTTTAGAGATGGCAAAAACCTCCCCTGTTAGAAAAGCAGAAGCTTGATTTATGAACACAAACTCCACAGACCCCGAAAACAGAAACGGACAAAAAAGCCCCTACCTTCAGTAACAGGAAAAGCTGCCACTTTAGTGTCAAAAACTGTTTCTGG